GGGACTGAGGATGGAGCAGGGAGGGGCCAGACCATAGCCTTCTGTGACCCATGGTGCCGAAGGGTTTTGAGCAGGAGAGTAAGGGGATTTTAAAAAGACACCTCCAGGTGGCATGTGGCAAATCGGTCCTAGGAGGACACAGGTGGGAGCGAGGGACGCTGTCAGTGGTGCAGGAGTGATTCAGGGGGTGACAGTGCTAGGCTGGGTGCTAGTGATGGAAGTGGGGTGGCAGGGTTGGGTTGGGACATACTTTGTAGAAAGAGCTGACAGGGTTTGATGCATTGGCTGTAACTCTGAGCTTTTTGACAACCAGGTGAATATTGGAGCCATTTCCTGAGCTGGACCACGGGAGTGGGCGTGGAGGTGGAGGTTGAGGGGGGCTGAGGAGCAGGCTTAGCAGGAAGTGTGGGAATCAAGGTCACGTCTCAGACCTCTGTCTTATGTGGGTAAAGGTGTGTTTTTTAAAAAAATATGTAACATAGGCAACTTATTTAAAGTCAATATTTTAAAAAATTTTATTTTTACTGGTTTCAGAGAGGAAGGGAGAGGGAGTGGGAGAGAGAGATAGAAACATCAATGATGAGAATCATGGATCGGCTGCCTCCTGCACACCCCACACTGGGGATCGAGCCTGCAACCCAGGCATGTGCCCTGACCAGGAATCAAACCGTGACCTCCTGGTTCACAGGTCGATGCTCACCCACTGAGCCACACCGGCTGGGCCAGTTGGTGCATTTTTATTTAAGGAATTCCTTATGTGCTGATTCCTGCTGCCGCCCAGCGCATTGGCCCCTCCGTAGTCTGAGTCCTGTCTTCACGAGAGCACGCGGTCCCAGCTGTCACATCCCGTCAGTCGCAGGTCTTTTAGCTGCTCCGCCGCTGACATCCGAAGCCCAGGGCCCACTCTCCCATCACAGCCGCCTCCTTCAGTCCCCAACACCTTTTCTTTTCTTCCCGGAGCCTCGGTCTGAGCCCTGTTTCCTGGCCTGGTAGCCCCGGCCCTGTGCTCCCCCAGGGGCCGTTCATCAACACTCACTTCCCTCCGCCCTGATCTTCCATCCTTCCGACCTAGACAAGCCCCAGGCCAGATCGGGGTGACAGTCTCAGGTCCCAGTCCCAGGCTGAGCGCAGCTGGTGTAACACCCGCCACCCTGCAGACTGGGCCACTCCCCATCATCCTCACCAGCCTCAGGCGGGGTGTTCATGGCCCCACGTGGGAGTCGGATCCTGCTCCTGTTCTCCCCAAACCCCACAGGTCTCCTTGCGCCCCCTTTGTCACCCCGGCTTCCCCCGTCACCTCAGCAGACTGCCTGGACAGAGTTTAAGGAAGGAGCGGGGGAGTTAGCCTGAAGCATGTGCATTGTACATGGGTAGGCGCTGGCAGCTGTGGGGGCCAGCTTTGTGGGTGGTGGGGAGGGGACGCCGCAGCAAAGAGGGCTGGGGGCATGGCAGGGGGCTGGGTGAATAGCAGAAGGCTGGGGAAATGGCAGAGGACTGGGGGGAGGAATGGGAGAGGGCTGGGGGATGAATGGCAGAGGGCTGGGGGATGAATGGCAGAGGGCTGGGGGATGAATGGCAGAGGGCTGGGGGAGTGAGCAGGGAAGGCACCTCAGAGAACTGGGTCCTGCTGCTCCTAGCATGGCCAAGGCTTCATGACTTCCTCTCTCTTCATTCAGGTCGTCTTCTGGTTTTCCTTCTACCTCCCACCAGTCCCTGTCCATCCCTGCGAGTGCTGCTCGGGTTCAGCCCTCTCTCTCAGCTGGTCTACCCTCACCTCCTAACCAGGGGCACTCCCCATGGTCTTTTCAAAACCTCAGTTTTGCCCTAGCCAGTTTCTCAGTGGTTAGAGCATCAGCCTGCCGACTGAAGGGTCTCGGGTTCGATTCCAGTCAAGGGCACGTATCTGGGTTGCAGGCTCGATCCCCAGCCCCAGTGGGGGCACGTGTGGGAGGGAACTGGTGGATGTCTCTCTCACATCAGTGTTTCTGTCTGTCTCTCCCCCTCTTCCATTCTCTCTAAAAAATCAGTGGGGAAATATCCTTGGGTGAGGATTAACCAACAAAACGCCAAAAAGCCCCCTCAGTTTCATCCTTACACCAGGTCACTCCCTCTTGGTGCTCCTCTTAGCTGCCCCGTGAGTGCCGGGGCCTTTTCCTTGTCCAGGGTTCCTGTCGCCTACCCCCCTTCCTCCTCATCCTGTCAGTTTGGCCCTTTACCTTCCCCCTGGCAGTCCGCAGCTACTGCCATTGCTCCCTCTCCCCGTGTGTCTGCTTAGACCACCTCCTTTCCCTTCACTGACCCCTTCGCCCTTCCTGGTCTCCGCCTGCCGCATTAACCTCCCTCCTCTGTGTTCGACGCTCTGCCGGGCTGCAGTGCACCTGCCCGTGGGGTCTCCACCACCGGCTCTGAGCGCCTGCGGATGGGGCTGTGCAGGACCTGTGTGGCCCGAGTCTGACCCAGTGTTCGGGGCAGTCCTCCTGCCGCCTGCTGAAGGCAGAACAGTGTCAGGACAATGACACTGAAACTGCAGTGTCCACGCTGGTGCGGGAGTAGGTTTTGGTTATGCTGTTGTGTGCTTCTCTCGTAGGACAGAAGATCTCGATTTTTAATGAACATAAAAGTTATGTACAAGGAGTTACCTGGGATCCTTTGGGCCAATATATTGCGACCCTGAGCTGTGATCGGTACGTGAGTATTGGACGAATTGTCTTTATATCTGTTTACTTAAAAATTTCTGCAGAGGTATTTTATCACAACTTAGCCAATATAAGCCATGGTTCTAGCTTTGGTTCTTTGAGTCTCAATTTCATAGAAAGAATTTGTTTTGTTATTCTTTCGACATAAGAAACATTGGAAACTGATCAGGGTAAGTGCCTTACACGAAGTTAGTACCTAGTAAGTCTATGGAATGGGTAGATGTCATAGGTTGATGCTCAACCACTGAGCCACGCCGGCCAGGGCTAGGTGAATGAATGCAGAAAGAGCTTGGAATTAGATCTGAATTTCATGGGCAACTTTTAAAGAAAAGGTCTTTTATAATAACTACTAGAGGTGGGGTCCCCCAGCCTAGCCTGCGCCCTCTCGCAATCTGGGACCCCACGGGGGATGTCGAAGAGCCAGTTTTGGCCCGATCCCCACAGGCCAGGCTGAGGGACCCCCCACCAGTGCACAAATCCATGCACCGGGCCTCTAGTATGCATATAAGATCTTTGGTTAATCTCTTCCTGCCCTCCCCTCTCCCCCTTTCCCTCTGAGATTCATCAGTCTGTTCCATGTTTCCATGCCTGTGTGTTGAGCATCTGCCCCCTGGTGGCCAGTGCACGTAATAGTTACTGGTCAACGGTAGAACGGTCATTCGAAATTCATGCACCGGGTGACGGGTCCCTCAGCCGGGCCTGCACCCACTCCAATCTGGGATCCCTCTTGCAATCCAGGACCGCTGGCTCTTAACTGCTCACCTGCCTGCCTGCCTGATTGCTCCTAACTGCTCTTCCCTGCTGGCTGATCGCCCCTAACTGCTCTCCCCTGCTGGCCTGATCGCCCCTAAACGCCTCTGCCTTGGCCCCCACCACCGTGGCTTTGTCGGGAAGGACGTCTGGTCTAATTAGCGTATTACCCTTTTATTACTATAGATGACTTAGCAGAGGTACCAATGGTAGGGCTGGATATTGGTTTCCTTTTGTTGCCACTGCAGTGATTTTAAGGAGACTGTCTAATATAAAAGTAAACTCTCTTGTCCCTTTTGAAAGGAGGACCTACTGCCGTGTTTACTGGTGAATCACATTGAGTTGTGTCCTTGGAGCAAAGAATTTTTTTTTTAAATCAGGAGTGCCAGGCATATCAGTCCAAATGGCCCTTTTCAATATTTACTGACTACTTTTCATCGTAGCAGGTCTCATTTCAGGTGCCGGGGAATGAGAGTAAGTGGGGAGCTGGTGTGTGTTTCCCTGGAATCTGCTGTTATGTTGCAGGTGTCACCGGTTTCCCGCTCTGTCTGGGCTCCGGCCGGCAGGAGGCGCTGGTTAGCCAGTGGGACCCTCTGAGTTACCAGCCTGCCGATTGGCCTGTGGTGCTTTTCTTCCTCTTGCCAATCCCTGAGGACCAGGCTGTTCCGGGAAAATAAACCCCACGGCCGTACAAGTTGCCGCTGGGCCGAGGGGCCAGGCCTGGGAAACGAGGCCCGGCCGAGGGAAGGTCTTCCCGGGGGAGCCGGGACCTTCCGTGAGAAATGAAATGATGCCCTGTCTGCACCGCGTCAGTGACAGTGTCAGGCTGCTGACACCTGCTCCTCTCGAAAGGGCTCGGTCAAGGGGACGTCACCGTGAATGGCTTCGCAGGCCACAGATTGCCTAGGCCGCCCTCCGTGTGGGTGACAGTGTTTCTGTGTGAGACACAGTTCATGGGCCAGAAGAGCGAGACCGGACTTTCCTTTCCCTTTAGGACCCTGAGGGTGTACAGCACACAGAAGAAGCGCGTGGCTTTCAATGTCTCGAAGATGCTGGCGGGTGCGGGCACCGAGGGAGAGGTAGGTAGGAGATGCCCGGGCTTTGCGTGGCAGCCGCGATGCAGTGGAGTGGAGGCAAGTCTGAGCTCCTCCGTGCCTTGCAGCTTAATCAGTCTCAGCGACACCTGAACCCAGTGAGGGTTCCCCTCGGGCAGTCGGGGCCCGGCTAGTGTGGAGGGCTGGCCTGTCTGGGGCCGGGGGAGCCGATGATGGAGGCTAGTGATTTCCAACCAGGCTGCCCCGTGGAGTCACCAGGAAAGCATTAAAAACTACGGGGCCTGGCCTCCACCCCAGAGCTGGGCTAACTCAGCCGGAGGCGGGCAGGCGTCCGGATTCCGAGGTGTGGATTCCGCGGTGTGGCGTGGGTGGAGCACGCTGGCCGGACGCAGAGGCAGGTGGGTCAGGGAGGCTGGCCCAGCAGCAGGCAGTGCAGACAGCATCTTGCAGGAGGATCCGGGTGCAGAGAGCAGGGACCGGTCATCGGGTGGCTCAGGAACAGGAGGGATTTCGACCTTAGGAAGAACTGGCGAATGAAAAGAGGTCCTAGTCCTGCAGGAATGGAGGCTGCGGAAGCAGGTGCTTCAGCAAAAGGGAGCCAGCCAGTCGGTTATTGGTACAAAACAGGGACCGGGCGCCGTCCAGGCCTGGGGGGCAGGTGTGGGC